CGGCGGCGCGCGCCGCCGCCTCCACGCGCGCCGCGCCGCAGCCCTCCAGCCCGTAGGCGATGTTGTCGCGGATGGAGCCCGAGAAGAGCACGGGCTCCTGGGCCACCAGTGCCACCTGCGGCGGCGGCGCCGTGAGTCCACACCGGCCCCATTGCCGCCGTCACCACCACCGCGCCGCCCCGCGCGCCCTCACCTGCCGGTGCAGGTACTCGTGCTCGTAGTCGTGCAGCGGGACGCCGTCGAGCAGCACGGCGCCGGCCTGCGGCTCGTAGAAGCGCTCGAGCAGCGCCACGCACGTGCTCTTGCCGCTGCCGTTGAGCCCCGCGAGCGCCGTCACCTCGCCGGGCCGCAGCTCGAAGGACACGTCCTGCCGGGGCGGCGCTCAGCGCCCGCCGGTGCCCGCCCCGTCCGCCCCGCTCGCGCCTGCCGCTACCTGCAGCGCCGGCTCCTCGGGCCGCGTCGGGTAGGCGAAGGTGACGTTCTGGAAGACCACGTGGCCCCGCAGCGTGGCCGGCGCCCAGGTGCCGTCCAGCGCCACCGCCGGCTCCCGGTCAAGGTACTCGAAGACCTTGCGGGCGGCTCCCACGCTGCTCAGCGTGTTGCCGTACACGTAGACGAGCGCCTAGGGGGCAAGCGGGTGACGGGGGCACCGCCGGGGCGGCGGCCCGCGGGGCGGTGGCCCGTGGGGACTCACCTGCAAGTGCCTGCTGAGGTCGCCCTGGTAGAGGATGAAGGAGACGAGGCCGCCGGCGGTGAGGGCGCCCTGGGCGATGTGCTGGTGGGCGCAGTAGAGCACGAGCGCCTGCCCGGCCACCTGCAGCGCCTGCAGGGCCCCCGCGCGCCGTGAGCGCCGGCGTCCCCGCCGTGTCCCCAGGGTGTCCCCGATGCCGCCAGGGTGGCCCCCGGCCGCCTCACCCGCTGGAAGAGCAGGAATAGGCTGCGCTCCAGGTCGCGGCGCTCCTTGAGGCGCCGCGTCTCGTCCAGTGCCGTCGCGTAGCGCTCGACCTCGCCGGTCTCGGCGCCGAAGCCCTGCACCGTCTCGATGGCCGCCACGGCCTCGTGCGCCACAGCGCTGGCGCGCGCCGTGGCCTCCAGGATGGCCTGCAGCAAGGCCTGGGGACAGCGGGCGGCAACGGGTGACGGCCCCGGCCTGGGGACTCTGGGCACATGTCAACGTGCGCCACGGGCGACATCCCCATCCCGGAGACGTGGCCATGGGTGACATCCCCATCAGGTCAACATGCGCCATGGTGACATCCCCATCCCGAGGACACTGGGCATGTTCCACAGGTGACATCCCCATCAGGTCAACATGCACCACGGGTGACATCCCCACCCCGAGGACACTGGGCATGTTCCAGGGGTGACATCCCCATTTAGGGGACATTGGGTGAAGTCCCCATGTGCCAGGGGTGAAATCCTCATCCCAAAGACACTGGACATGTTCCATGGGTGACATCCCCATCAAGTCAACATGCGCCATAGGTGACGTCCCCATCCCGAGGACACCGGGCATGTTCCACAGGTGACACCCCCATCCTGGGGACACCAAACACAAGTCAACATGTGGCAGGAGTGACATCCCCATCCCAAGGACACAAGGGTCAAGTCAACACATGCCATGGGTGATGTCCCCATCCCGGGGCCACCAGGCTCACGTCAACCTGTGCCATGGACTGTGTCCCCACCCCGGGGACATGTCCCCGCTGGGGGTGGCAGTACCTGGTGGCGGACCTCGTAGAGCTTGCGGGCGGCCACGGCGAGCGGCACCTCGACCAGCGCCAGCACCGTGAGGCGCCACGAGAGCCTCCCCATGAAGGCCAGGAGCACCAGGGCCTTGACGAGGTTGCGCAGGAAGATGTTGGCGTTGGCCGGCACCACCTGGTTCATCATGGGCACGTCGTGGGCCAGGCGTGATGCGAGGTCGGCTGCACGGGGACACGGCAAGGGCTGGGACCTCGGGTAGGGACCCCCGGGTTGGGTCCCCCTGGTAGGGGACGTGCAGCAAGGGGAGGGAAGGGGGTGGTGAGATGGATGGAGATGGGAGGGATCGAGAGAAGGGAAGGATGGGAGGACAAGGATGGATGGTGAGAGGGGTGGGTAGAAGGATGGAAAGATGGGAGAGACGCAGAGAAATGAGGCATGGAGAGATGAGAGGGATGGAGAGATGGGAGGGATGGAGAGATGAGAGGGATGGAGAGATGGGAGGGATGGGTGGACGAGGATGGATGGTGGGATGGAGATGGATGGTGAGGGGGTGGGTGGAGGGATGGATGGAAGGGTGGGTGGGTGGACGGGAGGGGTGGATGGGATGGGTGGGATGTGTGGATGGATGGATCGGATGGATGGGGCTGGGGAGGTGGATGGATGGGTGAGATGGACAGATGGATAGATGGTTGGATGGTTGGATGGATGGATGGATGGGTGGATGGATGAAGTAGATGGATGAGAGATGGGTGGGATGGATGGAAGGATGGGTGAAATGGATGGATGGAGTAGATGGATGGCTGGATGGGGGACACGGGACACGCACCTGCCTTCACCTGCTCGAAGAAGGCCATCTCCTGGCGCAGCAGGTGTGAGAAGAGGCGGTCGCACACGCGGATGTTGAGGCGGGAGAGCACCCAGAGGAAGAAGCCGCCGCGGCAGCCGGCGAACACCGAGCTGGAGGGCAGGGGAGGCCCCCCGTGAGGCGGTGACAACGGGAGGACAACGGGGCGCCAACGGGGCCACTCCTACCTCCCCAGCGAGGCCAAACCCATGAAGATGATGGCGGAGGTGAAGGCGTCGGCGTCGAAGTCGTTCCTCAGCAAGTCGATGACCTTCCCGGTGTAGTAGGGGACCAAGGTCTCACCTGCGGGAGGGGATGGGGGACGTGGGGACGGGGCCACCAGGGGCTCCGCGGTGGCCGCGGGGGACCCGTGGCGCCAACGCACCGACGACGGCGAGCGCCAGGAAGACGAAGGCGCCGCTCAGGTGGGGCCACTCGGGCGCCGTGAGGCGCAGCAGCCGCCGCAGGGCGGCGCGGG